CTATTATCTTTCTATTCCTCAATTATTTACATTTCTTCAGTTCATAAGGGTCCACAGACCAAAAGAATCAAAATCATCTTTCACAAAAAGGTTGTGAATATTGTTATGTGAAATCCATTACAGACAGTCAGGCAATTTCTTCTTCACTTCTTCCAACATGAAAACTATTTTTTCAAGTTCCCGCTGGGGGGCTTTTGGTATGTTTTTGTTAGTTTACTGCCCGGTTATGAATTCCTAACCCATGAGTAAGCCAGCTAACCTTTTCTCTGCCTAGAGACGACAAAAAAGGAAAAGGAAAAATCTCTTTGGTAACTATATTTTGATGGTTTTAACTTCACTTTTGAAGCTGCTCCATCTAGCAGCAAGTGCCCTCTGTTGGCCAAAACCAGCACAATGCTAAACAGTTAAAACGGGGAGATTTCCGAGGACAGGTCCAGCCAGGGACGGCCCAACAAAAACATGGGACTTTCCCCTGAAAACAGGGACATCACCCTAGATTGACACCAATTTCATGTTTATGTGGTAGACACTGTATATAGGCTACACACCGGTAGTAGCCGGTTAGTTTCGCTAGCAAAAAATGGAAACAGGGAAACCACTAACCTACCAAAAGTCCCTGTAAAACCACATTTAATTTTTATACTTTAGTTTTTGCACAGATTAAGAAAATAAAATATAATATTGGTGATTAGTGAGCTTCAGAAATGCTGGTAAAATTTGTTATCTTTAGCTAAGCTAGCAGCTGCAGCTTCACATTTAGCATACAGACATAAATGCAGCTTTGACCTTCTCATCCAACTCCTCACATGAAAGTCCATTTCTTTCAAACATCATATTTTTGTGTAGTTAGAATTGGCTAGAAGATACTCCAAAGACCAATATTGACCAAATTCCAAGACGTAAGTCTGACAGAGAACTTCTACAAAATAAATTAAGTACTAAAGTTGCCTTGAGTAGACTGGTATGTGCTGTACGTGTCTGAAAACAATGTTGTGAGATTTTCATGACTCATGTAAATTATGTAGAAGGCCAAATGAGAACCAAATCCGATAGGCAGCCTGTTCCGTTTCCTGGTTCTTAGACAGCAGGTGTTATCTGCATTAGCAAATATACCATCTATTATTGGAACAGAAACAGCTGGAAAATGACGCACTAACTCAGTAATCCAATTAGAAATCGAACCATCCTGTTTGTTCAAAAAGTGTGCAGGCCTGAGAAACAGACAGAATAAATAAATAATGACTTCCTGCAGTTAACTGAACCGTTGAGTGATGGTGCAATTTATTTGTGATTGAGGGGTTTTATTGCTTTTCAGCCTTCAGGTTGAGTTTGAGGCTGATGGAAAAAAAACAAAACAAAACAAAAGCAGGAGTCTTGCACAAGGTTCTCGTAATACACACACACAAAAAACTCTTTTGAAGAATATTAAAGGAAGATGAAAAACAGCACCTGAAGGATTTGTCTTGACACGTGTGCTCCCACCCCCCCCCCCTTTTTTTTTTTTTGTCTTGCTCTTTTATTTTTTTCCAGGTTGCACAATTGCACACTGGAGAGGTGAATGGCTGCCTGTCTGCCTGCAGCGAGCCTCCATTGATCTGCACTGAGGACTGAAGCTCAACAACAGCACACACACATGGCGGGAGGCCAGAGCCTTTGTAGCCTAGCTCAGGACATCCATTTCAAAGCCCACATGTAAGTATATGCAACATATACATTTTAGTGCTCACTAAATTTAATAAACAAACCATTCGAGAGAGGTTTCACAGCAGAACAGTCAGGCCTTTTCCTCTGAACTAAAGCAGGATAGAGGAACAATCGTTCACTCAGCAACGTCAGCAAACTTTTGAAATGTGACTGATAGCTGCGGTAACAATTTTGCATTTATATGGCGCTATCAAAGGGCAAGCTGATCCAAACCTAAGTGCCAACTTGACAAGCCAGCGGTAAACATGGTCACATTTGCATGCTCATTGGCCATTCAAAGGGCAAAGCTGAGGGAGTGGCTTCTGAAGGCTGGGTGGCCTGAAGATCCTTCTTTAAAAAAAAAAGAGGACAATCCACAAGAGGGAAGTCACAACACAAAAAGTTTATTTAATGAGCCGAGGGTCGACTCGGCCATGCATGTTTAAGACTGCACTGTTCACCACAGCTAATTAAAGAGTTTCTATCAAGTGTCACAATCATGCATTTCCACTTCATCTCTCGCTACTGCAAGGTTTGAATATGCTGGTATGAGTCACTGTGGGCATGCAAGAGCTCCGACTCCACCATCCTGCCAATGTTCATGATTTAACCTTTGCATGTTATTGGAAATTTCTGTTTACTTGTCATACCAAACATTTGACCCACCCCCACTTGGGATTACAAAACTACACTGTATGGTAGAGTCATCGAAAATACGGCAAGACATCTTCTGGCCACACATACACAACACAGCTGAAAGTCAGTTAATGAGAGAAACTAACCTGCTGCAGTTCTGAAAGACTAATCCTCATTTTTCAAAACAGAAATATTCCAGTGTCTCAACTCAATATCAGACAGATGCCCTTATAGCCACATCACACATTCAGCGACAGACGCACAGATCAGACAAATACTTGGAAAGAGGAACCAGAGGAAAAAAAATAAATAAAAAAAATACACACACATCACTTTTACTCCTGAGAGTCTTGGCACTGCTCCCACATGGGTATTAGGGCACTCTGAATAAGCTCTTATTAACATGAGGGAATCATCGCTGCCATGTGTTTAATTTTCAGTTATTGTTGAAAGTGAAGAGTAAGGCTTCCCTTCAGTCTCACTGCTTACATGACCGATTACTACATCACCATGGTGATTGAAAGAAAACTGGAGTTTTGGTCACAGTGTTGACCACAAGTCACTTAATGTCAAGTGTCTGCTTTGGGATTAGTTTCACTGGTTGACTAAGGAGCAAGTTAGCAGCTGTTTTCGTGAGAGTTATTAAAGTCGTTCTGAAGCATCAAGATTCCCAAAATTATGACAAGCATCAATCCATTGACTCCTGATGAGACTGATGCGAGACCTTTGTTTGACCCACGAGTGATTCGAGGAGAAATATCTGATAACACAGGGATAAACTGCTCTAAATTTCCCCTACATGTGCACATGTAGCCGCGTCTATATGAACACAATAATGCCAGCTGCCATCAGTGAAATCAGGCCATTTTAAAAACAGCATCACTCAGTTATTTGATTTACTGCACATGTGAAATGTAGAATGTGAAGGGAACTAATAATTTCATGAAAGCCTGCTCTGTGGTTTTTGGTTTTTTATGATTAATCAGTGTATAATCTAATCTGGACCAATCTCCAAAAATAGTGAAAAATGTCCATCTCACTTTCCCAGAGCCCAACACAACATCTTTATCTGACCCACAGTCCCATTAATAATTCAAACCCAAAATTACAATTACATAAACACACAATAAATCCATAAATACTGCAAATATTTATGATTTTTCCTTGATAAATGACTTAAATGATTATTATTACTATTAATAATATAACTTCTATTAATTTATTGCCATGTTTTTGAAAGATACATGACACCTCCTCAAAGTTATTTATGAAATGTGGATCATTCATTCATTTAAAAAGTGAGTCCATGTTCTGATATATTCCAACATCATGTTCTGTGGATTAATGACACTAACATAATCATAACAATGTGTCACAGTTCACTGTGATCCTGACTTCCAAAACTAATAATTACATTTTCCTGTATTTTGGTGGAGAATTCAAAAAAGGGTTTTGTTTCATTGTCCCAGTTTAACACAAAATCTAAACGATATTTACAAACCCTCACAAAAGGGTAGAAATCTGTATGAACCCACTGAGTGTGAACTATACGAACTTCTACACTCAAACCTACATTTCTCAGAGAGGAGGCAGGACTTTAACTAGTAATCACATCTGTATATCAAAACCAGTGTCAAGCAAGACACTCAATCAGTCAGCAAACCCGCCTTAAGGCACCACTGGCAGAGCGCAACCTGGTATTTAATGTTCAGGGAGAAATTCATTAAGTCACGGTGTTCGTCCCAGATCTTATTAAAGTCTTTTATTTTCCATAAAAAGAGCATAAAAGAGCAGCTGCATGCTCCGTATCCAGCAGGTAGCCACGCTGGTTTTTTCTTCTTTCCAATTTAAAATGACTCTATACTGAAATAAAGCTCAAGATAAAAACTTCAGCTTTCTGAACTTCGAATGCATCTCAAACTTTTCAGTATCTGTAAATTGATTTCAATCCAGTTAAATAAATCCTCATCAGCATATGAAACAAGATCTCTTCTCAAAAAGGTGATGGATTCATTTTATCCACAGGCCAGCTCCTCTTTGTGTTGTGCTCCCTCTCTCACACCGGGCTGTCATCATTAATGAGGCGTTCCTGGAATTAGTCTCTATGCAAGTGAACAGCAGCGTGACTAGAGGGATGAAGGCTGCTGGTCCGAACAGAGAGGGGGGGCGTAGGGTTACCTACACGTGTTCTGGATCTACCTGCCCTGACCATATCCACTTACGCACCAAAACACAGCGTCCACCTTACACAACATGTGGGTCACTGCAAATGTGTGTGTGGAGAGGACGACAAGACGGTGAGGTGTACATTTACACCGTGACGCCCTCCCCATCACCAACTTCCTCCTGCAATTAGTCAACATCATACAGCTTTTCTACTTGGTGTTTGGGTTCGGATGCACTGGTTGCCATGGATACCACTTGTTTCAGAGATGGTGAGGGATCAAGTGGAGTTAACAGGAAGTCAACAACTCACTGTTGGTTGTCAAGAAGTTTTAGTTCAGCTCACACACGCACTGTCATCCTAAATCTAATAAACACAGAGAGTTTGATGCTGTGTATCCATGGAGACCTGCAGGATGTGCACACCAAATCTTGAGCCTGTCCTCAACAATACGCCGAACAAGCTGTGCATAACTTGAGCAGAGTGTGAAAGTGAGTCATGAAGCACTTTCTCTCACCTTGAACACCTCGGAGAAGAACCCCGCGCCGATCTTCTCGCGGCTGAAGTCATCTAGGCGGGCCAGGCTGGACACGGCGCTGCGCAGGGCCCGGTACGAGGACGGTCTGATCCGGTTGGTTCCGTGTACGCTGTGCATGGGCGGCTCTGCCTCTCCCTCCTGCTCCGGCTCGACCCTCGTCTCCATCTCCATCTCGGACAGCCCGGGAGGAGGAGGAGAAGGAGGGGGCGGGAGGAGGACGTGGGACGTGTGCGTAGTTTAAAATCCAGCCCGACTGCTGTTTACATTTCCCATGTCCGCTACAAGGCCACGGCGCGGGGCAGGAATGATAACCGCTCAGTGGGGGAAACCAAATGTCGCAGCTGTGGTCAGCGACCGGTCCGTCTCAATTCCTCTGTCAAATTCCTGCAGTGGTTTGTGTGTCCGTCTTCAGCAAACTACGCAGCTGCAGCGGTGCATCCTGCAGAGTCAGTGCGCAGTTTGGGTGAAGTCCCTCATGCCGTGCAGCAGAGCAGAGGAGGCAGTGCCGTGTTCTTTCTAAACTGCGCAGGCTGCTGCTGCTGCTGCTGTCTTGGCAGCTCGCTCTCTCGCTCTCTCTCTCTCTCTCTCGCTCCGTTTCCTCCAACTCTGCTCCTCCTGCAGTGGAAAAGGCCGGGGCTCCCCTCCTGGTTCCACCAATTGAATTCTGGGCTTCCAGTGCGCACGGGGCTGCCTCACAGACGCTGCAGCCTATTAAAACTGAAGAGGGACAATGAGGAGGGGGGCGGAAACAGGGGCGTTAATTCACTAAATCATAAAGTGTGTGCAATCTGACGTGAGGGACCTGCTGCTAAAACTCTTGCTCCTGCTCACATCGACTAAACGCGTTGCCTCGCCGCAGCAGTTATTGACAATCTGATGATTGGCAAATTCTTATAGATTACAAAAACTATCTTGCACTGACGCACAAGGCTTCAAGGTGCGCGTCATTAGGTTTGATTGCAGCTCTCAAACTGTATTTAACATTTTCTCTGCATCACGATAAAGACACACGAGACGAAATATGGATTCAATAAAGACATGATAAAAAACAATCTGATTTAGAATAAAACAAAATAAAAAGAGTTGTTGGTACATGAGGCTGTTTGACGTGTTATCTGCTCCTCAGTGATAACAGCAGTGGATGCAGCAATATCACCTCTCATCGTTATTGCCTGCACTTTGCACACACACACTGCTGCGCTTTCTCAAATTGATCCAATCACTCGGACAGTATTTACACATCTAGTAGCCTAATGGTCGCTCGGTCACATAGGGGGGTCTTCCAGCCAGCACGCACGCAGCCTGCAGGAGCTTCCTTGATGCCCTGCACAAACCTGCGTGTCGCGGATCTACCCTCAGCCTGACTGCGGCTCGTAAATTATGGATGCCAAACTGAGCCGAGTTTGTGGGCTCGTCTGTCACGGACTAAAGTCCCCTAGGGATGCACAAACGCACGTACACACACACACACACGGAGGATGTCAGCTTCATGATTCAAAGTGAAAATGCTGACGCGCGACTGCACCGCGATCGAGAGGAGACGCGTGCTTGCCCGCAAAAGGAGGGTCTGACTCACCTGGCCTCGTTCCGAAAACACAACCTCCACATGTGCCGGTGTCCTCTGCTGAGCCCCGAGCCCGGATCAGCTGCGGCGTCCGGTTACCGTCGGCTTTATTTTACTAATTAATCATCTTTGTGCGAACCGCCTTCACGCGCACAGGCTTCCGTGGTTTCGTTTTACGTCCCCGCCGTTGCTGCTCTGCGTCTGCCCGCCTGCCCGCCTCGCTCTGGGTTTGGCTGCTTGAAGGAAGAGGAGCGGTGACTTTTGCTGTGCTTTATTGGAGGCGAGGAGGCGGGGCGGGTCCACACGTGATCACCGCAAAAATGCACCTGTGGGGGCGCCTAAACTGGCCCAGTTCTCACCTACACGCGTCTGTGCCACAGTGTCCGAACTGTTCATCGTGAGGGGCAACAGCAGCTTGTGTGTTAACTAGAAAACTCTCAGACTTTTCAGAGCCATGAATAGATATTATCATCATAGATCAGATCCTCTCTGGGTTTTTTTATTTTAAGCTCAGTGGGATATTGGAATAGACTTCATACTTTAACATATCATTCAGTGATTATTGCCAAGTTTTAAGGAGGATGTAGGTGATGTTCTGCAGTGGTCCCACCACCACCATCCTCTGTTTACATACCCAGTTGCCTCCAACTTCTCCTTAGTACACTGCACAAACCAATTAATAATTCAGTATTTATCTTACACACAACTTTATTCAGGAATGTTTACCATGTAAACACACAAACTAAATTATGATTTGTTTTACATTTTACCCCAAGACACGACGCAGGATCTGCCTTGGTTGATATTTTTGCTTCATTGGTGCAAATTCCCAAACAAAGTTATGATTATTGAAATAACACGACATGCAGTGAACCTGGGGCTTTTGGGGCGGTTGCCCACTTTACCCAGGTGTTATTCCAGATCTGGCTGGAGGTCAGGATCCCTCAAGGGGTTGCAAAATAAATTTGTGTCACAACATGATTAACTTAATGTCAAAAAGGGAGAAGAACTCCTATTGTACTGCAAGTTTTCTGTATTGATTCAGAGTTTTACCTCCTGACGACTGTGAACACTTAAAACGAGTTAATCTCAACACAGTCATGCATGCACAAGCCACAAAGGTTGCCAACCAGTGATCTATGTGATGTCTTCTAAGTGAATACAGTCCGGCCAAACTGATATTTATCAAACCTATCTGGGTCTGAATCTCAAAACACAATTTAAAGCCCCTCACTCCCCTCCTGACTGTCTGTAAACCTGCTGAGTGCACACTTTCCATCTGAAACACTGCAGATTAGCCTGGTGGGAAATATTTTTTAAAGATTTAATAAAACAAATAAAGGCCAAGTCCAGTTGGAAAATGTTGACTAGAATTCATCCAAACTGGCCTGTGAAAAAGGATGAATTATTAAAAATGCACTTTAGCATCTAGTATTTTATAAAACGCTGCATAAAACACCAATAAAACACTGAAATAAATCCCATGTGGATGAAAAAAAGCCATTTTAATGACCCATTAAACGCACAGAGCATGTGGTTGTGTTTCACACAAGGCAGCAAATTAGAATAAACAATATATAATTACATATAAAATCTAATCAAATAGGGAACTTGTGGGCAAAAAATACAATTAGTTGAGAGTAAAATAGATCAAATTAATTTCTGAAGTAAAATAAATAAAGTAAAATGATATAAGCTCTGTGATAAAAGAACATTTTGAAAAGAGATTTAAAGGATGACACAGACGAGGACATTCATGCGCGTCACACCTGATCGTGAACACTGTATGGGGCACCTGAAGGTGCTCAGTTCGCCAGAGAGCCATAAAAAAAAAGAGTGTGTCGTACAGCGTGGAGCCATGTCACACCTCACAGCCACATACTCCGAGCGATGACACACCGTTAACACATTCAGCCCGAGGTGTGCGATTCGAGGTTTCTGTCCTCCTGCTGAACAGATCCCTGGTCTGTAGCTGCATTATTAATACAATCAGTTTATTGTCTCTGTGCTGGAGCCAGAGGAAAGACACTAAAGTCACACTATTGTCGCTGATAATAATGTGTACGATTTATTATTTAGTGCTGCTGATCACTTATTCATCACACTGACTGCTACGTTTGCTTTGAGTCCAAGTCGGGCTTCAGTGAGCATGTGTGTGAGGATTATGTGCAAGCATTCATGCGTGTGTGTATGTATGTGTGTGACGGGGGGATTATGTTGACCCCCGCTGACCCCTCCGACTTGTCTCAGGGCTACTTTATCACCTGGCGGGGCTGTTTACTCGTGGACAGAGATTTCTGTGTGACGTCTCTCTGTGTTCTCTCTCTATAGACTGACTGAACCAACTATCTGTGTGAGGAGCAAAACAACGAGACAAACCAAATCCTCCCAGCTTTAAGGCAAAGGCTGAACAACGACTGATTCCCCAACAGAATGTAGACATCTCGGTTTGTTTTTATATTTTAGCACACACATATTTGCCCCTTTGAACAAAGTCATAACTTGAATGTTATTAATTGTTTGAACTTTTTTATCCATCCTTTCGTGACTTTTCATCTAATGTCACCACGAGGTCACATTCTTGTCTTTTAGTTGAATATCTAAACAACAACAACTACTGGATGGATTGCCATTACATTTGGTTCACAAATTCATGCCCCCTCCCCTCAGGATGAATCGTGACAACTATAGCGAACTCACAGATTTTCATTTAGCGCCACCATCAGATTAAAATTTGAATTTGCCCAGATCTTTGTTTTATGACCAAATACCCGTGAAGCTAATGCCATTCCCATAAATCTCATCTGCACTTTGTGTTTATTTTCTTTCCTGCTAACATGCTAAGCTACAACGGTGAACATGGAGGCATTCAGCTTCAAGCACCACTTAGCCTAAGTAGCCTCACAGAGCCAGTTGTCTCATTTAACTTCTCATATATTGTCAATAAATCAAACCAAACAAAAACTCACACAGAAACCAATTAACGTTATTGACAGATCCTAATCAATATGTGATTTGAATAGATCTGTGTTTGTCCAGTGTAACTAAACTAAACTCAACAAGCAGCATAAGAGTCCATCTTTCTTATGTCGTCATAAGGGACAAAAAAAAATGTATTTTGATGAGGCCGCCTGCTGTGGTTCTCATTCAGACTCCCTGCTGAAAAGTTTTAACGAGGCCCGGCAGGAAGGGGATCAATAGCAGGCTCACGCTGCATCCAACACCTGAGCTGACAGATCAATCTCCAAAGAGGACAATGGGAAATGTAGGACTACAACAGATCCACAAAGGAAATGATGATGATATCCTCACTTCCACATAAAGAAATACCTGTCTCGTTTACATTGGACTTTTTTATTTTTTGCTTTAATGCATTAAACTTATTCCAGCTAAGATGATTCTATCCCAAAATGTTTTTAATCACACATGCTTGTTGTGATTCACACCCACATCTCGACAGAGTTCTGGTCAAGGCAACTCAAAATATAGATTGCAGTGTAAATAAAACATTAACATCGGGCCTCTCCTGCATCTGAAATTCCAATTTCCACCTAAACATCCAGATCCTGATGGTGCAAATCTATATCCTGAAACCTGCTGTGTCTCCCATCTGACCACCCCGGCGGTGGCCCCTTGTTAAAGCTCATCTGTGGGTGCTAACAACCGCACTCTCCCCTGCCTGGCCGTACAGGCAGCCAGGTGGGGGGGCCAGGGGCCTTTATAATTGGTTTTTGGAGCACACCAGCTGTTTCATGTGCCCACATGCCGGTCCCCGAAGGAGGTGCAGGCGTAAGGGGGGGTGGGGGGGGGCTGCCACATGGTCCTCCCCCTCCCCTCCTCCCCCTCCTCTCGTCTTGGATAAAAGACTGCTGCCCAATAGATAAATAGACTATTGGAGATGTTCATGCTGCTGCTGCTGATGGTGGGGGGAGGCCACATTAATACACACACGTGATACACACATGAATGTAAAGATGACGTAGTGTGTGCTGCATTCTGCACACACACACACACACACACACACACACACACACACACACACACACACACACACACACACACNGGGGCGGGGGGGGGGGGGGGGGGGGGGGGGGGGGGGGGGGGGGGGGGGGGGGGCTGCCACATGGTCCTCCCCCTCCCCTCCTCCCCCTCCTCTCGTCTTGGATAAAAGACTGCTGCCAAATAGATAAATAGACTATTGGAGATGTTCATGCTGCTGCTGCTGATGGTGGGGGGAGGCCACATTAATACACACACGTGATACACACATGAATGTAAAGATGACGTAGTGTGTGCTGCATTCTGCACACACACACACACACACACACACACACACACACACACACACACACACACACACACACACACACACACACACACACACAC